GTTTTCCTTTAAAAATAAATATAAATGTTGATTATAAGTGCAGTCTAGGTTATTTGGACCAGTGGCTGTGTTTGTGTACTGTATTGGGCCTTGATGTCCATGTGTGTTGACTGTCCCTCTCATATGCTGCAGTGATGTTCGTGGAACCTGAATCAGACAGATGCATTTTCTGCCCCTGGCAAAAGAATGAATTTGAGGCGAAGTCAATATTTGTTAGTCAGAATAAAAAAGGTTAGTTTATCCCTTTAAAGTTACATACAAAATTTGCAGTAGGGGTCATTAAATAAAAAAAACAAAAGTTGCTAAATTAAGTGACAGTAAAGACCATTTGGGTGTTTGCAAACAGCACTGACCTGACCTTTTTTTAGTGGGCGGAGCCTAACTGGTGGCAGAAGCGGCCTATGTAAGACACGGAATTAAAAGATAAAAAAAATCGAGTTTATATCTCAAAACTCTCTTTATATGTTATAAACTCGCATTTGCAAGTTATAAAGTCCATATTGGGAGATATAAACTCACAATTGCGTGAAAAAGTCAATTTATGAGATAAATTCTTTAAATGTAAAATGTTTTAGGTTTAATCATTATTTCATGCTGTAACTGCACAATACATGATGTCCCCTATGAACTGTGAATATGTAGACCTATTGTTTACATGAAATTCATGCTCTGTATGTAGAGAGAGATATTTTACGCGTCATACAAACCCACTTTTTTATACAATTTGTATTGCTTTTTATTTGCAGTGCTATTTACGTCATGCTGCAGGTTACCAATTACATTTATTTGCATTTAATTTGCAATACATTTTAAAATAAGCATCACATCTCTGCTTATATCTGAATTATATTGCTCAATATACAGTATTTTGCATAAAAGCACTTTCCAGCTGCTGAAGTCTTTTGACAGATTGTTGATTCATGTCCAGGGATGTTAATAACTATATCAGTTTAGCCAACTAAATATGCAGGGATATTTTCTATGCTCTGTGTTTCAGGAAAACCCGATTCTTTTTCCGAACACCTATTTTGTAAGCGCAGGGAGGGGTTGCCATGGAAACAGTTTGAAAGATCCCAGACCATAATTAATACCTTGCCACAAACAGGTTATTTCCAGATCACCATCTTTTATTTAGCATTGTAGACATGTAAAAACCAAACAACCCCGCTGACAAAAGCATTCACACAGCAGTTTGAACTCGATGTGCTTTTTTTTTTTTTTAAACAAGCATAAACCAGACAATATACACAATGCGTCGAACATTAGATAAATAGCATGACACATTTAAACAATCTCACAGTTCACCACAAAAACACATTCTTCCAGACATATAGTCAGATAAGGAAAACCAAAAGCGAGAATGAGAAGTTTTACCTTTTCTGGTTTGTATAGTTTCAGTGATAATAAAGATAATGGAAGGTAAAAACAGGAAAGAATCAACTTTGGTATTAAAAAGACAAACATTCTTCACTACATTCTCTTTTTTTTTCAGATACTGTAATGGGTTTTCAATGTAATGGGTGTTGTTCAAAGCTTGTGTGATGACCTCGAGTAAGACGTAGCAAATCACACTGCATGTTGGTTTACACCTAACAGCAAGTTTGATGCCTGTCATCTCATATCAGCCATGTCTCTACTAATAAACACTAACAGCTTTAAACTAAATATTCAAAGACAGGTGCAAGGCTCGCTCATTCCATTAAAGCAGGAATAGAGCCATGTAAATGAACTCGAGATTCATGTCAAATATCTGTTTTAAAGCTCATCCTGTAATACAATCAAGGTAATCTAATTCACCACATACAAAAGAACTGTAATAGTTCTGGATGACTGCCATACACTGCTGTTGAGTGGCATTCGACAATCGGAATGGATTTGATTTGTGACCATAACCATGGAGATAGTTTAGCAGAATGACTCACATTTGACAGACCAATCGTCTGTGTAGAGGTGGCAGCTAATGGAATGTGGAACGCAGACCACAATCATGTAGATTAGATTTACAATGCATGTCAAAAATATCCCAACATTTTAAGAAAGAGAACTTGGATTTAATCATCAAACTCCTCATCAAAGTCTATGAACGGACCTAAAGCTCCAGATGTGGGCACTATATATTTTAGTGGAAACAGAAACGGGACTGGTAATTTTCTGTCACATTATTATCGGTTAAATTTATTTCTTTTAACCCTAAAACACAAAACAGTGCAATGTGCAATTCAAAATAGGTGTAATACCTGTGAAAAAAGGAGATGGTCCTCACTGCAGAACATGAAATCCACGGGGAGGAGTGGGATCCAGATCCAACTCCTCCCACCTTACACATACCTAAACTTACCCAGCTCCACCCCCTGATCCCTAAACCGATCTCTAAACCCACCCCTAAACCTACCCAGCTCCATCCGATCCCTAAACCGATCTCTAAACCCACCCCTTAACCTTCTCAACTCCACCCCCTGATCCCTAAACCCACCCCTAAACCTACCCAACTCCTCCACCTGATCCCTAAACCTACCCAACTCCACCCAATCCCTACCGATCTCCACCCCCTGATCCATAAACCCACCCCTAAACCTACCCAACTCCTCCACCTGATCCCTAAACCCACCCCTAAACCTACCCAACTCCACCCGATCCCTAAACCTACCCATCTCCACCCCCTGATCCCTAACCCCACCCCTAAACCTACCCCACTCCACCCCTCAGATCTGGATCCGACTCCACGCTCTGGATCTTGTGTACTGCAATGAGGCGCTACTGGAAAAAAAAGAGGAATTTTATTTATGGACTTTTCTTACACATTCACGCCATGTCGTAATTAGGTGATTTCAACTTCCGTCCTCGTAAAGCCGTTAATAATTTGTAAACTGGGAATTTTTTCTGAGAGCTCCTACTTGTACCACCTGACTGCTGCAGATTCAGATTGCCATAGAAACGCTTGATTCTCAGTCTGAAGAAGTGAACAGCTCGGAATAGATAGGTCACATGTTGTCATCCTGAAATTACAGGCAGATTAATTTAGGTGTTGACAATGGTATTGCCATAGAAATGCATAATTCCCAGGCCGAGGAAGTTAACAGTTCAAAATAGAAAGTCACATGTTGTCATCCTGAAATTATGACGTGTCATGAACACAGTTCATCCCTTTCTTAAAATCAACTGCAAGCTCGCATTCAGATCTGCCTCCATCCAAAGAACAACCAATGGATAGAACCAAATCCATTTTTTGTTTGTTTTTCGAAACGATCGGATGTGCGTCACAACGCAAGAAAAGATCCCTCGCTAGATTTCAGTAGTTCAGCTTTAAAATAACTAAATCTCCAGACCCTTGCATTATGTCCCATCTTGTTCTCCATCAGACTCTTTTGAAAACAAGGATGAACAGCCCCTTACAGCTAACAGGCTTTAGAAATCGCTGGCTATCTCAAAGCAGAGAACTACGGTAGACAGACAGTTATTAAGAGTTGCGAACTGATTTTCTAGCACTGCACTTCAGACAATCTGCCTATATATAAAGCAACACTACTTCAATAACAACTAGTTATACCACATGGATTTAATGAGGAGCGTCAACCATATTTATCTGCAGCGTGTATGTTGGCTGGTAAAACAACAAACAAACCAAAAAAAGTCTGATTCCGCAGAACTGACATTGCCAATATTAGCTCAAATCTTTGCCATCTCTATGTGGGTTTCGAAGAGGTGCAGAAAACGCCAACGCCTAGTGCAAGGTTGCTTTAAAGTGCTGTTGGAGCGTGTATTTCACCTTGACAGATATAGGATCCTCCTCAGCTGAACTGCCCGTGCTGCCCACCACAGGGGACTCTGCCAGACAACGGCTGTCTGATGACAAGAGTCTAGATTAATCTCTTCTGACCACAACCTATCCTTTCCAGCAGCCCCTGCGTCTTTATTGTCATTTTATTTTTCAAGAAGAATGCCCTTAAATAAGAGTGTCTGGGTTTAATCCAAGCACAACCTGATTTCTTTGTTGATAACTGTAGTGTTGCTTCGTGACTGCTGATGGTCCTTTTAGCTGGACGTTCCCTTATGTGGAGCAGGACAGAGGGTAGTGACCACACCGCAAGTGGGACACGACCGAAATACACACCAAAGGACGGTCACAGTTCAAGGTCAAAACAAGCCATTGTAACCTGCTAACAGCACAGACAGATTAAATGAGCAGAGAGGCTCAAGTGCTCGGCATGATACAGATGACATATTTGTATACGGTCATAACCTGGCCTATGTGGTCAGATTTTAAACAGCAAAACTGGATACTTCTGCGGTTTTTACCACAGACAAGCTACTCCTACATTCAACAGACTCAGAGGGATTTAAACAGACTGCTTCACACTACAAGCTAAAGTGCCCAATTAATTTTTCATCTGTTTTTTTTTTGTGTGTGTGTGAAGTTGTTTACATGACCTTTTAAATATGGTCCATATCAAACAATGCTCAAACGATTAGTTCAAAAACACAAATTCATTCAAAAATTAAAAAATGACATCTTTTGGAATGAGTCATCTAAAATGATTTGTTTCAAAAAACCACTTGCTGACCCTGTTCTTCAACTTCCATAATAGAATATTATATGCTATATTTTTGTTATTTAATGAAATTCTAACATTTAACTTAGTCACTTTCTATCAATACTAGTGATGGGTCGATGTACTGTATGTGTACTGATTACGCCCACGAGTCTACAAACAGCCTTGTCAACACAATTTCCGTTTTAAAATATTTTAGAATTAATTCAAATTAATAATGTGTAAACAAATGCTTTAATTTTAGTGTCATCTTAATTGACTGCAACAGTGCCTGTCCACATTTTCAGCAGTATTTCTTTCCAATGAAGATTTAAATAAAAATACTATTATGTAATTGGCCAGTGCTTTCATGGTAGTGATAGAGTGCTAAAGAGTTCTTTTGTCACTTTAGTCTCAATTCTCTGATTGGTAGAGAATTGAGATTTCTCGCAAGAATCATGGGTAATGGCGTTTTGTTTTTTACCAGGAATTCTGCCATTAAACACCATTTTAACACCGTCGGTGTATGATTGGGTGAATGTGTGGCAAATGTAAAGCGCTTTGGTGGCCATTAGGTCTATGAAAGCGCTATATAAATGCAGTCCATTTACCATTTCAAAACAAAAGAATATACCAAAAACCGAGTAGCTCGAAGTAGTTATCCTAAATCAATGCCCCCTTGGAGAAAATTAAAGGGATTTTTTCCGGAACCCAACTGTTGCACTTTATTGCATTATTATTATTTTTTATGAATTCACAAGTCACATGGGGGAATCACTTTAACCAATTTATTCCCACATATGAAAGTGAACCATATATTTAAATTGGTTCAAATGTCATTTTAAATGTGATTTTTGCTGTTAATACAGTCATCCCCCCAAAAAACACTTTTTAAATTTTTTTTATTTGATTTGGGTCACATTTAACTGTGTAAATGTAGCCACAGTATTTCAGTGCTTGTTTGATAGCTTGCTGTCTTTCCATGCCGCTCCAATGAAAATGTCCTAGAACGCCCCTGTCAACTTTGATCAGTCTCACTACCAAAATAGCATGCACCACTTTTCTTTTTTTTAAACAATCACAGACACACTCTTTCATTCTCCGCTCTATTCCCTGGTGGCTTGCACAGGCACTTGTTGCCTAAAAGCAAAAATAAAAAAAAGCAATGAAGAAGACAAGAAACATGTGAACTAGTTTCTATTTTTATCCTCCATATCAATACCAAAAAGAAACGTCTCCAAGGACAATACCTCGTTGCGATTTTGGCCTCCGACTACTGAAATTTGACTGCAGGAAGGGTTAGAAATCTTTTTTTGCCGTTTCTCTCAGTCTCACATTCTTTTTCGATGTCAAAAAGTCTTCTTTAAAGTTGAAGTGTGTAATTTTATGTTAAAATAAAATTGCACACTTCAATCTTTAAACTAAAATCTATTTTAAGATACAATTTTCTCTGTGGGATATATGCATGTAAAAGATGCAACAAAATGTAAAAACAATTGTTCCCACATATAGAGTCAGTTCTCGTTTATGTGCAGCTAATAATTGCAGCGTGAGGAGCTTAGGCTCTGAAAGTGCAATTTAGAGAAGAGATCAAACCTATGAACGCTAAGCTTGGACTGCCTTTACATTATGTGGGATTAACAGGAAATGGCCCACTGCACAACCTGGTGTGGTCGTAGCAGGGGATCATGTGCTCCTATACGGCTCTGACTGGATAGGAATGAAGAGCTAATGTGTTCACACCGTGATAAAGACTGAAATTTGTCCCACACAGGCATGTGGTAGAGCGGGAAGCAGATTTTGGCAGCAGTACAGGGTTTAGCACCACACACCACACCAATCAACAGCACAGATTCAACTAAAAAGATCATGGATTATTGTCAAGAAAAAAAATGCTTCATGGCGGTAGAAACCGGGTTTCCTTCTGCCAGAAAAAAGGCTGTTTTCAGGGACCAGTAATGGACCAACAAAAGCAGCAGGTGCAGTGCATCATGGGTAACAGTCTCGCTGCCCACGGCGAAACACAAAGTCTTTTATATACAAATTAAAAATTCCACCCATGGCCTGTGTCCTCGGCACGGTCGTGTCTTGTCCGGATGTCGCACACGAGGCAAAAAAGCTTTTGCCTTTTTCTCACGGATCCTTATTCAGGGAAATCTCGGCAATACTGCAGTCTCTTTTATCGGCCTCTCAGTACTCCCACTCATCTGTCTTCATATCCAAGTAACTAAGGATATTCTGGGCATGTTTAACAGCTTGCTTACGGGCAGTTTTGGTCCCCTCGTCCCCTTGAGGGTCCACAGCATCAAGAGCCAGAAGTTGTTTGGTCAGTAGCTCTTCCAATACCATGTAGCTCTTGTCAGCCCTCTTGCCGTCAAAGCCCAACACCTGAGCCTGGAGTTGGCCCAGGCTGGCTAAGACACGCCACACGGCCGCATGAGGCGGCGGCTCGTCTGCTCCAGGGTTACGACGTCCTAGGGCTTCCCAGAGGTCTAGGAAGGTGATGAGTGCTTGAACTTCCAGCACAGCCCTGCGCCGTGCCTCCCGAATGCAGGGATTTCGGCCCGTGTCCACCTGATCCAGGTGCGTAAGGAGACCTTGCAGCTCCGCCCCCTGTCCTGTGGCACCATGACGGAGCACCTCCTCCCGCAGTGCTGAGACACGCCCCCTAATCGCCTCAATCTCACGAATAGAGTCATTCTGCGCTAGATCATACCTGGAGGTACAATGAGTTAAATATTATCAATAGTAGATTCAAAAAGTAACTAATAATCCGTTAAAAAATAACTCTAGATCACATACTAATTAAATTTCAGTCATTAATTACTTGTCATTCCAAATCTGTATGCAATTAAATAGCCCCCCATAGCAATAATGAAATGTTCCTATTTTTGTTTTAGGAGTTCCCAAAAACAGTTTAACGTGCATGCAAGGATAAAAAACACTTTTTGTCTTGTAATATGCATTTATTTTTAAATGACTCGCAAATGATTCGTTCGACGATTCATTTTCCCAAACACCTACTTTGAGTGACACGAATCTGCAGCGACGGCGTTATTAATAAATCAAATATTTATATAAATAATATTAATTATGTATAATATATGAAGAGTTCAGATGCAAAAGCCTCCAAGTACCATTTGAAATTTTCTTCTAGAATGATCATTTTTATCAAACTTCTATATATTTAAGTTCAGTGATTTCACTTAAATGACAATGATAATTACCTATTAATTGTTATTTAAGTGAAATTACTGAACTTAAATATACAAGTTTGATAAAAATCATCATTAAAGAAGAAAATTTCAAATGGCATTTAGAGGCTTTTGCATCTGAACTCTTCATATACAAATATTTGATATATAACACTTGTGTATATATAAATACACACAAATGCATGTATATATTTAAAATAACTATACACACTACACACAACTTTTATTTTGGATGCCCCAGCCCTAATAATTACATAACTCAATGTAATACTTTAATTAAGCTAAGATTCATCAAATCGATTAGAAGTGATAAAGATACTTATGACTGACAAAATGCATCAGTTTCTACAAATATATTAAGAAGGAAATGATTTCTATATTGATCATTTTTTTCTTTAGCATCTTAAAATGATTTCTGAAGGATCATGTGACACTGACGACTGGAGTAATGATGATAAATTAAACTTTGCCATCACATTTCAAAACACATTAAAATGGAAAACCGTCAATTGAAATTGTAATAGTATTTCACAATATTACTGTTTTACTGTATTTGTGATCAAATAAATGCAGCCTGCAGTGTATGTAATGTATATTTTGGAATGATGCAAGGTACAGTTAATAATGATTTTTGGAGTGAACTATCCTATTACAATTTCATCTTTAAATGAGTAGCTTCACTGAATGGTTGTTTAAGTAAACATAAAATGGCATTTCACTATTAGTCGTGTTTAATTTCAAAGGATATGCCCTCCAGAGGTCTCATTTGTTGGTTGCATACATCATTAAGGCTGCCTTATTTTAGAGAAGTAACCATTACATTCCAAAGTAAGAAAGAATTTACAAGTCAGTTTTATAATGACTCCTTTTCTAAAATGAAACATCCTTGATGATATAAATGCGGCCAACAAATGCGACCTCTGGAGGGCACAGCCTTCAAAATGAGACACAAGCTATTGTAGTTTGTGTTGATGTGTCCATGTGGTGTTACCTGCGCGTGTCGTATCCTTCTCCCTCCAGGTCAAGATGTTTCAGCAGACCATTGATCTCCTCCACCACTTGTTTTCTGTAGTTCCTCACGGCAGCGTTACTAGACACATCCAGGGCGTCCAGTTCTACCAACAGCTCTGTGAGGATCCTTGCTAGGTGAGTACAGCTATCACGCCCACTCAGACCCATCAGCAGAGCCACTTCCTGGCAGCGGGCACCACTCACCTACATGAGATCAATTCATTTCAGATTCTCTTTACTTTACTGTTAAAGGGTTAGTTCACCCAAAAATGAAAATTCTGTCAGTATTTACTCACCCTCATGTTGTTCCAACCCCGTAAGAACTTCGTTCATCTTCGGAACACAAATTAAGATATTTAAGATATTAAGATCGCTCCTGCATACAGTCCATAGGCTTCTTGAGGTACTGGCTCTTGCTGTCCCCGAAAAGTCATTAAAGACATCGTTAAAATAGTCCAAGTTACTACAGGGGCTCAATCTTAAGTTTATCAAACGACGAGAACACTTTTGTGCGCAAAAAAACAACAAAAATAACGACTTTATTTCAACTATTGGTTTATTTCTCCCTCTGCGCGAGTCAGGTTACTAGTTTAATAGCGTAAGCTTCTGTTATTGTACGTCACACGCATCACACACACATGACCAGCGTCGGCCAATAGTGTGACGTAGCTCTACGCAATCACACTACGTTAACTGACTTACAGGCTCATGGAGAAGGAAGTGAATAGTTGAAATAAAGTCGTTATTTTTGTTGTTTTTTTTGCGCACAAAAGTGTTCTCGTCGTTTGATAAACTTAAGATTGAGCCCCTGTAGTAACTTGGACTATTTTAACGATGTCTTTAATGACTTTTCGGGGACAGCAAGAGCCAGTACCTCAAGAAGCCTATGGACTGTATGCAGGAGCGATCTTAATATCTTAAATATCTTAATTTGTGTTCCGAAGATGAACGAAGGTCTTACGGGGTTGAAACAACATGAGGGTGAGTAAATACTGACAGAATTTTCATTTTTGGGTGAACTAACCCTTTAACATTGTCTCTTGGCTTAAATCAATCTTTTAAAAATTATAAAAGAGATCATATACTACTGTTCAACAGTTTAAATAGCAACAAAAGTATCATTGTGAAATATAATTACATTTTAATATAGCTGTTTTCTAAGCTATTTGAATATATTTTAAAAATGTAATTAATTCCGGTTTTCAGAAATCATTATAAAATGATGATTTGCTGCTCAAGAAATATTTTTTTTCTTATTACAATTTCTTTTTTATATATATTTTTTTGATCAATTTAATGTCCTTGCTATTTTTTTACTAACCCCAAACTTTTGAACTGTAGAGTATCTTTTATTTTACTGAAAAAAGTTTGATGTAAAACATAATAATTCTGACCCTAAACTGTTAAACAGTAATATAAAAAAAATAGAAATAAATGATGAGATTTTTTAGACCAATTTAGTGTCCTAGCTGAAAAAAATAAAAAATAAATCTTACCGACTGTAAACTTACTGACTGTAGTGTGCACTTTACTTGGTCAAAAACAGAATTAGGTATTTTCATGACCATTTCTACCCTCTCTCGAATCCTTAAAATTAAAATAGTTTTTTTTTCCAGCTGTATCTTTAAGAAACATCCCTTCATGTGTGCAAAGAATATCCGCAGTTTGCGATTCCTAATGATATTCGTTTTTTGCAATACCACTCACCTGCGCCATAACTTGATTAATGCGCTGCACGGCCTCGTGGGTGTCGTCGGACAGCGGCAGCGCCAGCGTATGTGTGCGTATGCGACCCTCCAGTATTTCCTGTACGGCACAGACCCTCGTCAGCGCCTTGTAACGGGCCTTCCTCAGCGGTACGCTCCCACCCGTCTTGACCTGAGCCAGCCGCATGGCCACGTCCTGCACAGCCTCCACCAGCTCCTCACTAATCTCAAAGGCATCTTGAGCCTGGCCCTGTCGGAACGGCCCCACGACCCCTTCGTTCAGCATGTTCTGCGCCTCCTGGGTCAGCTCCTCAATGGCCAGTCGAGATGGATGCGTAGCATTCCCCTCCAGGTATCGAAGCAGACCCTCGACCTCTCCCGCCGCACGCTTCCGGGCCTGCTGAAGCTCCGGCCGGCCCTCCGTCTCCACCTGGGTGGGTAAACAAAACATGGTCAGTCATTATTATACTTTACTTTACACATTCTTTTGACGCAGTGATGCCCTGTCCTGACCTTATCCACCTCTAGCAGTAATCGGGTCAGCTCTCGCTCCAGTCGTTTGTACTCTCTGTCGCTCTGCAGGCCACTGTAAGAGCACACCTGTGGGCCCAGGTTGGCGACCTCCCTCTGCAACTCATCCAGCCTTAACAGGGCTGGGTGCTGTCCAGGGTACGGGCCTCGGGGTCCGGAATAACCTGGGAAGGGTCCTGGCATCTGCTGAGTCTGTGGCTGCTGACTGCCATGATCCATTGTCCTCTTTCCACCATCAAAGGGTTTCCCAAACAGGCTGGAAGAGAAACCGATAGGTAAGAGCAGGTCAAATAACCAAATTATATGGTGAGATATGGAAATAAGTTAAGCAAAGTATGATGTTGATACAGTGGATGATACAGTGGATACAATGGAATAAATGTAAAAGAGTCAGGTAAAATCCAAAAATCCTTTAAAGAGATACTCCACCGGGTTTTCATAAATAAACTATGTTATTCCCTTAATTAAGACGAGCTGATGCATACCTCTCTCGTCTCAGTGCGTGCACTATATCGCTCTGTATTGCCGCAAAACTATGTTAGCACTTAGCTTAGCCCAGTGCATTAAATATGGGCCAAAAAAAAGAAGCGACCAAACACTTCCTCGTTTTCCTTATTTAAACACAGTTACTCGATTAGTGTAACTCGACCTAGGCTGGTGACACAAAATAAAACGTGTTTTTCTAAGCGTTTAAAATTGATGACTATATTGTATGGCGGAATACCATAAAAAGTGCTTTAGAGCGCTTCAACTTGGCGCAATAATACCTTTACTCGTGAAAAGTCCTCTTACCGGCTCCCGCTTCCTCGCTCTCCCCCTCCCTCTTATTTCCATCAATGCAGCCAACATGACATGCGACAAAGCGGGAGCCGGTAAGAGGACTTTTCACGAGTAAAGGTATTATTGCGCCAAGTTGAAGCGCTCTAAAGCACTTTTTTATGGTATTCCGCCATACAATATAGTCATCAATTTTAAACGCTTAGAAAAACACAACGTTTTATTTTGTGTCACCAGCCTAGGTCGAGTTACACTAATCGAGTAACTGTGTTTAAATAGGGAAAACGAGGAAGTGTTTGGTCGCTTCTCTTTTTGGCCCATATTTAATGCACTGGGCTAAGCTAAGTGCTAACATAGTTTAGCGGCAATACAGAGCGATATAGTGCACGCACTGAGACGAGAGAGGTATGCATCAGCTCGTCTTAATTAAGGGAATAACATAGTTTAATATGAAAACCCGGTGGAGTATCCCTTTAAATAGTATTTTACTAATTATTATATTATGCATGCATGTTTTATGAACTCATAATAATTAACTTTTGAACAGTATTGTACACACATTTACATAAAAAAACACAATAAAATCAGACATATTGTGCCTCAACAACCCTTTTACAGTAGCCTCAAAAATTATTTAATTTATGAATTTAATTGCATTAAATCAATATAAAGTATCCCAAAATGACATCAGCCAAACATATGGTGACCAACCAATATGGTTTCCCCCTCTAAAATAATTCAACAAGCAGAGCATTTTTCTGTCTGTAAGAGAAATTAAAGTAATATGAGTCACTTTTACCAAATTCAGAACTGTGTATGATTGTAGGAAAAACAAATTTAATCCTAACTCCGGTAAACCTTTACAATGAAAAATGCAGGAGAGCTTTTGTGCGTCTATAATGAGCACAGGTTATATGTGTTGTACAGCTGTGATGACTACGGCTGACTCAGCCAGATGTTTCCGACTACACCCATCATAAACAACAGTCCCAATGCCCCAACACGAAACAGGAGCTGCCTAAATGCATGACACATCACAAAAACAAACCTCCATTTGTAGGGACAACGTTTGTGAACAAACATATAGAAATTAAAAACAAACTTTCGAGGATAGCAATGAAATATTTCAGTTTCAGAACATGTACCTGACTTAATCTGTTCATCCAATGAAAAAAACAACAACTGAAACTCGAGTATTCACTCCGTGTGAGTTCTTGAATTCAATCAAGTCTGAATTTCGCCAATGAATCCATTTTGACAGCAACGGTCCGTTTGCAGCAACCCAACGTACTCTCCTGCCGGTGTCCTGACAATATGTTGATACTGGAGAGCAAATATTTACATGTGGAGAGCAATAAATTTACATGTGCGATAGCCGATAGGGAGCATATTAACTATTAAAAAAAGTTCTGTTCCTACTCATTACCACAAAAAAAGATGGCAAAATCTGTCTAGCAGCTGTTATACAAGCGTATCAATCCAACAGCACCAACAAACCCATCTGCAGAAGATGTTTAGAGAAATGAAGTGTCCTTAAGTGCAGACGCCCTTCACACAGCCCATTGTCTTACCTCTACAGATTCAAAGTCCAAGACGAGATTTTATTGGCAGACAACTGCGGCTGCTGTTCCCTAGGGAAGTGTCTGTGATGTCACGGAGAGGTCATAATAACAGGACTTAAAGAGACAGTGTCCATTAGCAACCAGACTGTATGGAGTTCATGAAATACATTGGATGAGATTGCACAAGGATTTTAATTATGATATTGATCAATACAAAAAAAAAAGCTATAAAAAAATTGGGGAAAAAGAAAGAAAAGTGGACTGCTGTAGTGCACTGCAGTCCTTGTATACCTCAGGATCAGAGATCTTATACTACTTCTTGATAGCTTTTTCCTCAAAAAAAAAAAAGAAAGAAGAAAAGAAAGCATGCCTTGGGTGCTTTATCCTTTTATATAACCAGGTGAACAGACACACTGTTGCGAAGAATAAACCTCAAATGAGTGAGTGGCCATCTGTACAAGTTGCCTATGAATATATATGCCTAGCCTAAAAGAAAAAAATTAGCCCTGCAATTGAAGCCCAATTTATATTTCTGCGTCAAACTCTGAGGCTGTGTGAAGCGCGCGTACCCTTCGGCTTACCCGGACATGCATCTCTCCAAATTCAATTCTACGCGTACCGCAAGTGCTGTGATTGGTCTGCTAGAACCACTCCCCAGGTTTCACAAGCTCCCTCTGCATGTGTAATTGCGCATAAACGCGGACAATGATGCAGAAGTAAAAATGAAAACCAACTTAAAAGTCCAACACAGAAGTATAAAAAAATCAGCCTTTAGTCTCTGTCCAAAACACATCATTTTCTACAATCTAACACAACCAGCTTGATATTTCTGCTTTGTATGTAAAAATATAGTGCTGTCAAATGATTAATCGCATCCAAAATAAAAGCTTGTGTTTACATAATATATGTGGGTGCACTGTGTATAATTATTTTGTATATAAATACAGTATATACACACACATGCAAGTATATTTAAGAAAAAATATTATTTATATATAAAATATTTACATTTATATATATATAATATAAATTATATATAAATCTATATACAGTATGAAAATATTTCTTAAATATATACAAGCATGTGTGTGTATTTATATATATAAAATAATTATACACAGTGCACCCACATATATTATGTAAACACAAACTTTTATTTTGGATGTGATTAATCACGATGAATCGTTTGACAGCCCTAAAATAAATACTCTTTGAAGACTCCTAAGATATATCGAAGTTCAAGAGAACAAATTGTTCACCAAGCTTGTTGAATTTTTGATTCCTCAATTGTGCAGCAGTACAGCGTTAATTTGACGTCATGCTGGGAGTGTAGGAGGAGGATAGGGTCAGGTCAGATAAGGATGAGTCAGAACTGTCCTCATCTGTCCAGATGCTCCACCTGCTTCCCAGCATCCTGCCCATATACAATCATTTAAGCCTCAGAAGACCTCTTATTATAGGGTTGCAATTTCTCTCAAGCAAATATAACAAACACTATAAACTATGAAATTTGGGTGGGGCGAAAGAGCCAACATGCCATCCATGCCAGAGTTTATCAGTGGGTAGTAGGGTACTGCTAAATACATCACTGCTTCTTTCACTCCTCATGGAATTATGCCACATCAGAGTCAATTAATTATTTTCTATTGCAGCTCAAATTCACATGGCCAAACTTGTCCACTGCCCAATCACTACAGCTCAAGAACCACTTAACTGATGCCAAAACAAACCTAAAGTCTCTTTAAAACAACAATACAGATACAGACTTGATACAGAACAAATAGGACATAGTCTTTTTCCAATGTCATTATGCATAAAAAATAAATTAAAATAAACAAAATTGTTTATATTCACAATTCTGACCTTCTAAAATTGATGGAGGACTAAACTGTTCAACGCAGGCTTAAAGCAATGTTTCATCATCACCATAATCATGAAGTGTTTCCCAATTATGTGTTAATAATTAATGTGTTAATACTTAAGTCAATGAGACCAGAAACTGTCTGATATTCTTCTAAATATCAGAAAATCGTCTGAATTGCATTTGAAAACGGTAAAACTCAACTGTTTAACTCTGGGGGAGTTGTAAAATGAGCCTATTTCCAAAAAAAAGTGGAGTATCCCTTTAATAAAGAAATAATTTTAGCTATTGATTTTTCACAGGTGATTTACCAGTATTTTGAATTAAGTGTTGCATTTTAGGGTTAAAGGAAATGTCTGTAAACTTAACGAATAATGTCCTGACAAAAATGTACCAGTCCAGTAACGTTACTTAAACACGTTGTTGTTTTTTTAACAGTGCATTTATAAGACAGTCTTGTTTTCTGCTATGTTACTGAGACTAATAGCAGGGTGTCTTCAAACTTCAGCATCAACACTACAGGGAGGGAGTCGAGATTCTGGAACGGTCCACAGCAGCTACGATGATCTTACCACCAATATCATCTAAAACTATCTTCTGTTCATGAAGGCTGAATGCAATACACGTCTCATCATCATGCCATACCAACATGAAGTGTCTTATAGCTGAAGATTAATAGATTAAACAGGGATGTAACACGTCTCCCAAATACGGGTTTCGCAATGGCTGATTCTTAAATTAGCCTACTACATTTGTCCCCACAGTACATGAACTATACAATAAGGCAGAATGAGATTATAACAAGCCTGTAGATGCCTCACCAAAACGACCCTCCTGTAATCTGACAACGCGGTGCCTGAATTTACATGACTCAAATCATCACAGAAGGACATGTTTATTGGTTCTGAGCACAAGCCAACCCTTTCCGACACAATCCGAGCATGTCTCACCACCTCCTGAGATGCGCAGCATATTTCTCACCTTTTCAACGCGCCGAAAACGTTCGCGCACATGTCTAACGGGCTCCGTTTCCATCAGCTACGCTACGGAAATGTTTTGCGCGGTGCAACACTCCAGTAATGTGTGCTTCGTGGAGTTGCAGTGAGACTGACTGGCATTTAGAGCAGCACCATCACATCGCACGGTATGGACTGCATTCCTGCCCCTCCCCTCGCTCTATAAGCGCTGGTGGTGGGGATTTTGATTCCTCTCAGTGACTCTTTTGGATCAGTTCACTAAAAGACTCATTCAGTTACGCTTTACGCAGTTACATCGTTCTGCCGGTAGGAGGCGACAAATGAGTGTCAAATGAGTGTCTACAAGACTGTTTTAAGCCTAGTTCACACTACATGATTTTAAAATGTTGGGCTGAACTGTGCAGTTCACATTACATGACTTGCTCTCAGTGAAATCATGAGTGTTCAAGTTGTTTAGCTGTTCACACCACAAAACACAACGTGATTAATCCACAACAGGAGGTAACTCACTACACGAGTTAACAACGCACTGCATAGAGATACAACCACGATCGGATGATAAGAGCATATCATTTGTGACTCAATGAGAGCTGTTTCAGTACTATAGTACGGTCTAAATCCTGAAAATAATCAAACAAATAACGAGTTGACAACAACACGATTCTATCTGGTCTAGAAACCATGTTTTGTAACGAAAAACCACGCAATAAAACGAACCAGAAATGACGCGAAACTACAGAGAAGAACACAACACGCGAATGGACGTCAGACAGAAACTAGTGCTGCACACTGTTTGCTCGACGATCTGCTCTGAGAAAAAAAATGCAAAAAAGAAAAAGTAAGATTTACCTGGTGTCCTCAACCCATGCGTTGCTATGATTGGCTGTACTCATGACATCACTGAGATTGAGTCGCGCGACTGCTCGAGATATCTAGCAGGCTAGATATTTTTCTGAGCTCGGTGACCTGTCTGCGAGCTGTCTTTGATGCGTTGTTGGCTCTTTCACACTAACGGATTGGCAAGCGTTAATCGTCCGCTAATCGCCCGCGATTTGCACGCGATAACAACCTGACTTGTCGGCGACTCAACGATTTGCAAATCGGGCTTAAATCGGGCTTAAAATCACGTAGTGTGAACTAGGCTTTATTTAAAGGGATACTCCACTTTTTTTGGAAATAGGCTCATTTTACAACTCCTCCAGAGTTAAATAGTTGAGTTTTACCGTTTTCGAATCCATTCAGCCAATTTTCTGATATTTAGAAAAATATCAGTAACCAGACAGTTTCTGGTCTCATTGACTTCCATAGTAGGAAAACATGTCAAGGAGACCAGAAACTGTCTGGTTACTGATAGTCTTCTAAATATCAGAAAATCGGCTGAATGGATTCGAAAACGGTAAAACTCGACTGTTTAACTCTGGGGGAGTTGTAAAATGAGTCTATTTCCAAAAAAAGTGAAGTATCCCTTTAAGTTTATCAAAATGAACGAATCTTTTTTTCGTGTCATTTGGTTCATTCAACGAACGAAATGAACGAATTGACTCGGGAAAAGATTCTTTCATTTTGATAAACGAGTTTGAACAGGAGAGTCACGAAGGCGCATCACAGAACAGAGCGACCATTTGAGCTTATAAAAACTTGAACTTTGTTATTTATTTGTATTAAATGAGTGATCGTTTCGCTTGATAAGACCCTTATTCATCGTCTGGAATCATTTGAAGCCCTTTGAACACTTTGCAGTTTGTACTGAAACTGTTTGGTTCCCATTAAAGTCTACTATGTGGAGAAAAATCCTGGAATCTATTCATCAAAAACCTTAATTACTTTTCGACTGAAGAAAGAATAACATGGATATCTTGGATGAGATGGGGGTGAGTAAATTATCATTTTTTAAAGTGAACTACTCCATAGACTTCCCTCAGTCTCATTCACTCGGATGTACGTCATTGCTTACGTTGCACGAGTGCCCACTACTGGCAGAACCCTTGAAACATGTTTTAATGGAAAACCCTATCATAGCATACTATCATAGCAGCCACTATCTAACTCAAGGCAGGAGAGCAGCAGGGAAAGGGAGAAAAATATGTCCCCAAAGACCCTTTAGTCTGTGGCAGTGGCTGGTAACGAGAATGATTCGTTCACTTAAAAGATTCGTTCAAAAAAAAAAAACCCTCGAGATTCGTTCACGAACACCATACTGGGGAGACCATTTTCTCGCATCAGGAGGGATCCCTAATACTTCGATATCTTCATATTGATCACTTTACCCTGATCAGTAAATAAAACCATCTTGCCAATAATTGAAGCATGTCATGTTGATACAGCACGAAATGTACGGATTCACCCCCTTTGTATTTTTGATACAACCATTTAAGCCTGGAAGTCAAATGTGAACTCCCTTCCAAAACACAAAGTGGTTTCATCTTTCATCCACAATAACGTCAAGGAATCTGCTGTAAACGTAGTAGCTGTGCTGCGTAAAACGATGTAAAACGGCATAAACCACTTGAAATAATCCGCCCGTCTAGCTGGCTGCTATAACGTCCATTTAAAGCACACAAAGACACTGATCAGCTCTCATTAAGAGCTCAGGCAGTGCGAGGTGAGGTGAGTTTTAAAAAATAAAAGACATTTATATGAAAACATTTCTTATTAAACATGATGTTTAACGGGCTGTCCATCCTACCTGCATAACCATCTGACAGCCATTGGTGAGCCTGTGTTTACAGATTAAACAACGCACTTTTCATTACAACCACCGGGCATACATGTCTAATGACCCAAACAGCTGGCCAAGCGAGAGTTACGAGGAGTTTAAATTCATTAAATGTTCCCAAAACTAAAATAAATGTTGGGAATCTTTGGCGTCAACTTGGTATGAAGCAACCCAGGCACTTCACATTATGTATGTATGTCTCCCTCATCTATATAACTACTGCTTCATCTCGTCAGCTCATTAATAGAGACCGCAACACTTGAAATGGGTGTTATTGACATGGGACAAATGTGCAGTGCTTAACGTTCATTTAATTTTTTTTTAGGGTGGAATATTATAATACAATTATATACACTCTACCGTTCAAAGGTTTTTTAAAGTCTTATTAAAGAAATATTTTATGCTCAAGGATAAATAGTAATATAGTGAAATATTATTACAATTTAAACGAATTGGTTTCAATTTGAATGTATTTTATTATTTATTATCAATATAGAAAAACAGATGTGCCTCTTAATATTTTTGTGGAAACAGTGATAGACTTTTCTCAAGATTCTGTGATGAATAGAAGAAAATTTTGAAAAGAACAACATATAGTGACTGTGAAAGTCACTGTTGATTAGTTTAATGCGTCCTTGATGAATTTTTTTTTGAAGTATTATTTAACTATTTTTTTGACTTAAAAACTTTGTGATGCAGATTCATATGTTCATACAAGGTCCATATGTTGTTGTGTCGGAACTCATGGGATGTTTTGGTCGTCCAGCGGAAGTAGAGTGAGCTTTCCAAAATACTTGATTTTTGTTGAAAATATAATTCAAATAAAACACAGTGCACTCTCTCCAGAATGTAATATGCTACGGGTTTTGTTTTACCTCGGAAGGGAAAACAAGTATATATCTTCTCTTGTACGAAGCGTTGAAGCGCTAAAGTCCTTTGCTAATGTAAAGGACTTTTATTTTAAAATCATCCACCATGTTAAAATGTACTGATAGATGTGTGCTGTTACGGAAGCTAGCGGAGAAATCGCACTTATTATGATTTGTATTGGTTTAGGTCCATTCATTAATTTAATCAAAGATGAATGTAAAAACATTGAATTGTATTTTATTTAGGTCTCTGCGTCCGTGTTACACACATGTTCCTGTGTCATTAAGGAGTCCCTGTCGAGGTCATCGACAAAGCACGAGCCAACCACCAAAACATGCCAAACGACCAGAGGTTTGTCGTTTACGGTACTACCTTTATGTCAAATTAACAGTGATGCAACAGTTTATCTGCACATCTTGCATTTAAATTCTCACGTTGCACGTATTAACAAATTATATTAGAATAATATCTGGGATTGCATAGAATTGTCTATACATTTGCTTTTAGTTTTTAAAAAAAACTTTTAAAGTGTATATAATGGGCTTTATTCACAGCTGCACTACTTCCTGAACTTCAGCCAGCTCCTTGTTTCCTGTCTGCCATTATTGGCCAAATTGATTAATTCAGGTGTGCCTGACCTCAGTAGTCATGGCAACAATAATCAGACACACCTGAATTAATCAAGTTTGCCCAATAATGTCAGACAGGAAACAAGGAGCTGGCTGAAGTTCAGGAAGTATTGCAGCTGTGCATAAAACCCATTACTGGTATTTCGAAAATGCATATTTTTGTACATGCCCTTGTAACATTTATTCCAACTGTTTTTTAATACCTGATGTGAAAGTTAAACAAGTAAGTTATAGCTGGATTTAGATGTCTGATGTTGCCTAGTTTTACCCAGATTTGTTTGACTGATTAGATTAGTATTTGTTTCTTTTTTTGTTTTTGGAAGTTTGCTATCATGATGCCTTGTTCCAATCTAGATAACTGTTTTTTTTTTGTTTGTTTGTTTTTTTGTGTAGAGGTCTGGATTCAGTCCAACAGCAACATCAAAATATGACTGGATCGGTCCACCAGATAGACTGTCGAACTTGAGGCCGATCATATATCACATCCCAGAGAATGAGACGCCACTGGAAAGGGAGTTGAGGCATCTGAGACAGGAGACCGAGGACTGGAACCACGAGTTCTGGACCAACCAGAACTTATCATTTAGCAAGGTGTGAACCACAGATGTATGATGCAAGCTTTAAAAGTTTGTAGGCAACACATTTAGGCAACACATTTAATATGTTTACTTTGTGGAGAAGATACTGTAACTATTGAGATCCTCCATGAAGTTCTCCCTTTACCATTAGGGGGCAGTTGTGTGTTCCAAAAGATTCTTCAGTATATCTTTACTATTTCTAATTGTCATAAACATAGAGACTAGAGTGGACTTTTTTGACTACTTCATATTGACCCATTTATTTATTTATTTTTTTGCAACAGGAAAAAGAAGAATACATTCAATTACAATTGACTGCAAAAGGCTTGTCAGAAAGAGATGATGACGGTGAGCTGTCTAAATACTAACACTACCTATAGCAGTGGTGCAAAGCTCAGAGTTTATTTCCAACCATACTCCGACACACATACCTGAAGGCAGTGTCTGAAATCTTGACCTCTAAAAAAAAAAGTGTTTCTAAATTGTATGAATGTAATCTAGACATACTGCATTCGCCATGCTGCTATTATCATGAGACCTACCAACGTCAGTTCCGTCAAAGCCACTTGAAGGCAATCCTGCACCCTTATAGCTTAAAAAGCTGTAGCTAATGCTGTGGTACGCTGGGAAGACAAGGGGCTATTTGTTTCTTTTTGAATGGATGTCAATTCACAACGCTGAATAAACTGCTTTTGTGAGCAAATAGCTTATCATTTAAAGTGACTTTCAGCATGTTTCCTATAACAACATCTGACGTTTACGGTTTACATGACATGAGAAAGTCACATAAACCACGCAAAGTCCGATCAGAGCAGCCGGACTAAAAAGGATTTCTAGAAATGTCAATTGAATAGGATTTCAAACCACAAATGGATGGAGCTTGAAACAAATTTTCGCATTTCATGTGATTTTTAATTTTTTTTTCTTTGCCCTTGCCTTCACACTTGCTAAATCTGATTGGATTCGAGTCGGATATGCGTATATCAGATTTGGACTGACAGTCTGAACGTAGGAGACATGCCTGTGGTTGTTTTGGCGCTGCTAATTGATATGTGCTTGTGTATACTGTGTCATTTATCACTGTTCCAGGAAGGAAAAGGACTTTAAGCAGTGAGGAAATGGCAGTATTCTACAAACACTTCTTGGACAAAAACATTAAAAGGCATTCGAGTTATAACAGGTGAGATTCAAATACTTCAATCATTTTAAAAACTGCTCTACACAACCCTCTACATGCATTCTCTCGTCTGATTTACATTTTAAGCAAGGAAAAGGCTTACGTTTTCTAAAAATGTCCCCCTTCAGCATTTAAATATCAACTTTTCAAACACATTTTTGTGTTTGGAATAGGAATAGGAATAGTGACATGATATTTATATTAATTTTATGTAAACTGTCTGCCATACTGTTATAATGATATAATTGATTTACATTACACGCAATCTGAATTTCATCTTACGTTTTGGCCATATAAATATCAGCAACTTCACCAAATTGCAAATGATCTGAATAAGGTGTTTTCTTTCTCCTCAAGTGTGAGCTCCATATTCTCCTATATTATACTATATGAGCCATAAAAGCCTGATGTATCAAATATGATAATCAACAACAACTAAAAACAACTTTTTGGTGTTTTATCTAAAAATGTTCCATTAAAAAAAAATAATTCTGACTATTACAACAGGATTAATTCCAAACTTTTTGTGTTTCAGGGAATGGTACAGACGGAACTTCACCATTACACTTCTAATGGCAAGAGTAGCTCTACACAACACATGGAGGACACTGACTGGACGAAGGAAAAAAGGAAAAACTACATAAATAAAGAAATACAAATAAAGACTGTAAATGAATCACTGCTCTCTATGGTGTTGTCTCTATGTGGAAGTGAAAGCAGCGAAAGTTTAGACCAAACTTTGCACCAAAACCTGGAACTGTTGTGTGGGTTTTTATAATCTGAGTCTTCTCGACAAGTTCAAAAGCTAAATATTATTACATCAATAGTTACATGTTGAGAGGAGAGATGCATGCAGAGACAAATCTATAGCAGCCTTATCTAATCGTGCTCGCCCTGATGTCATTCCAAAACTGTATGACTTTCTTTCTTCTGTGGAACATCAAAGATATTCTGTGAAATGCAAATTTGAAACATCTGGAGGGTGAATTTTCAATTATGGGTGAACTATCCCTTTAAAAATTATTTATAACTTTGACCTTTACACATAAAACACTTATTGTGCTTAATGTTTAAAAAACATTTATTTTTAAAGCTATAACACTGATAGGGTTAAGGTCTGTCTTTGGTATCAAACATGGCTTTGGAATTGAATTGCATTGAATTGAAGCTAAATTTGCCTCTTTGTACCTGTAAAATAAATAATTTCGAATGAATCAGTCAAATAATAAATATATAACACGAACCATACAAATCATGAATTGTCATATCGAGGTATAGGCTTACATAAAATGCAGTTTAAGCTATAGGCTAATAATTCAGAAAATAATAAATGACAATAATATGTCGGGGTGGTTCTGGTGTACTATGGAAATGTAAAACCAGGACAGGAGTGTAAGCAGAAGCAGAGTGATACCAAATGCTTTGATCATAGGAGAGAAAGTAATCTCACTCTGCTCCACATATGTGGCATTCCAGACGATTTTTCTTTCTGTAATTTGCTTATTTACGAGCAAAACCGTAAAAATTGGCGTATTCTGACATTTTTTTATTTAATTTTTTTATTGGCAGGGAAGAAATAAAAAATAAACTACCGGCCACTTCCTCTCGCAGTCGCAATATTCAATATCTTGGTAAATTTGTAGGGATATCACTCTCTCTCAACTCAATTTCGCACTAGGCAACTAAATGTCTATCATTAGCCACATAGCTAATAATAAATGGTTTATATGATGATTCTTATTATAATACTGCTTAAATAAACTAGACAAACTTTGTTATATTATATACGGAAACATAATAGTACTAGACAATTGTGACTACCACTGAAAATAAACTAAATAAAAAGTAACATTAACAGCTGATATCAACATTTTCAATATTTTTTTAAACATTTATTTACATAATACAAAAGTGAAAAGTTTTACAACACAAACAAGAGCCAGAGGTTCAAGAATTGATACGTATATTACATTACATTGGAATTTAACGAGAAAGACAAAAAAAATATATAAATAAATAAAATAATAACTTAAACAGAAAATTATATTATATATATATATATATATATAATATTTTTTATACAAACACATCAAAAAATGAGCATACATTCAAAGTTTTAGTAGCCTTTTTGTTACAAGAGGTAGATAAGGTTCTGATATATTAATTTTTTTTAAGTTGCAAAGAAAAAAATATTCTCATATTGCTTCTCAAAACTGAAAACCCAAACAGAACATCTCTGAAGTAAAGCACAAAGACATTTTCCATAATCCCAAATTCCTTTTATTTTCGGATGACATCATAACGAGGAGGAGTAAACCTGCCGGGAGAAACAACGCCATTTTCACCCAGTGCAGCTCCAGACAGATGAGATGCGTCTGAGCTGAGGTCTGGCTGTCTTCGCAAACACCGCGTCACACATTATGACTATGTGTGATTAATAATCTATTGTTTCTGCGCCATTCTGTGATTTGAGCTCGTGCTGGAAGAATCGGACTGCTGGTGCTGGCAGGAACTTCCCCCATCGAGCACCGGAAGACTGGGGAGGACACACACAACTGGTCCGACTGCCTTATTCCAGCCCCCAAACCCTCTCAACCAGACTGCGGGGTGTTATATTGACTTGAGTTTTGTGGTGGCACACAGAGGAATAAACCCTGTTACAGTTGTGTGTGATCTGGATGTTCCACTGAACGGTAAGATGTTTATTATGCTAACGAGCTAGCTAACGTTAACTCACGCGCTCATCTCGAGGCTGGCTGGGAGTGTCAGTCTACCTGTCAAATGAGTGTTTACATCGCCTTTAAACGACTTTGAGATCGCTATCACTTTATTAGACCTGATAAATCGGCTGGATGGGTGCTCAGAGGTTTAATATTGAAAGTCAGATGTGTGATATTAAGTCAGAGAGTGTGTAAGCCCAGCCAGGCCATGATTATGCAGCAGAGAGTGTTAGTCACTGCACCAGATAACTGTCTATGATACTGCCCTAAACCATCTAGATTAAGATCAGTATTAAACCAGCTATAGATCAGTGTTCATTCAGTGTTAGTACTGCTCCAGATATCTGTTCAGTAGGGGTCAAATCTCTGCTTGGCAGTTGTACTCAATCCTGACCTCCACATTTGGGAAATCTCCCTTATTGAGTAATATATAGCTGATTCATATCATAGTTTCAGTGGCTTTCAGGATTGAGGACCACTGCCTTAATCCATAGAGAAGATTGTGTTAAATGAGTTTAAAATCACTGCACCACTAAGCAGACAATAGATTGTTTCCCAGACTGTGGTAACGCATTTCTGCAGTAATAGGCTATATACATTTTTTAAAAAAAATGTTTTTTAAAGAAGTTTCTCCGAAGTTCTTCACTAAGATTGCATAAAAAACAGTATTATTGAGAAATATTACAATTTGATGAACCGTTTTCTATTTTAATTTATTGTAAGATGTAATTTATTCCAGAAGCTAAATATTCAACATAATTTTTCATGTCTTCAGAGTCACATGATCCTTTAGAAATCATTCTAACATGCCGATTTTTTTTTTTTTTTTGCTTTTCTTTTTATTGTTGAAATTTTTTTGCTGTGATGCACTTTTCAGTGTATTCACCAGTTTAGAGTTGGTAAGTATTTTTTTTTTAAAAGAAAGTAATATTTTCATTTAGCACAATTGCATTGATTACATTGATCAAAATTGACAAAAAAGACATTTGTTTTATATTTCTATTTAAAGAATTGTTAAAAAATGCATCGTAGTGTACACAAAAATATTAAGCAGCACAACTGTGTTGACTGATCGACTTGATGATAACCATTATTAACAATTGAGCACCAATAATAATTGAGCTCAAAACCAGCATATTAGAATTATTTCTGAAGGATCATGTGACTCTATATATATCAGCTATGCATGAATAGAAGTGACTATACTGATCATATAAAGCGATCGAGTGTCTTCATAAAATTTGGACTAAACCGCTCAATTAATATGGATTAGTTTTACGATCTCTTTATTAACCTTTTTAAACCGGTAGTTGCGTAGTTGTCAAGTCAACGAATACAGAAAGCTCTCAGATTTCATAAAAAATATCTTAAACGAAAGTCTCATGGGTTTGGAACGACATGAGGGTGAGTAATTAATGAAATAATTCTTATTTTGGGGTGAACTGTCCATTTAAGAACTGCCTAATTCTCTATAATAATATAAACCGGTTCTGCCTGTCTCACAAGGAGACTTTACATAGGAGCTTGTTAGACCAGTTGAGTGAAGAATAGTTCTTGTATGCTGCAAGAAATTAGTTTTAATTGTTTATTTGTATTTAATTCAACTAAACACACAATCCCTGTCTCACTACTTGATATGTTGTTGACTTGAAAAAAGAATTATTTCAATGACAATTACTAGCTTAGTATCAACTGAGAGCAAGGTGCCTGATCTTGCTGCGTGACATGGCTCTTCTGTAGTTGGTATGCAGATGGCTTGCTCTGCTCGGTTGACATACAGTCCGTCTTTGCTCAGTGAAAGCTTTTGTGTTTTAGTGAAGGAGATGCAGTCTCTGAGCGGTTTGAATGTGTGGCCAGCTGTGAGCTCGGGCTCCACTGCAGTGGCTTCTCAATGAGAAGGTGGCTGGCTGCTTCTCCTCTGGGGAATCAATGGGACAGTTATAAATTTGGCTCCGCACAGGAACACAAGCACAATTTATGGCCGCTCATACACTTGTGCTGCAGCAAAGTGCCTCCGTTTGATTATTCTGAATTGAACTGTGGGATGTGACTTGTGTGATGGAAATGTGTCGGCGTCGAACATCGAAACAAGGGTTTCTCGATTCATTGTTTCTACTAACACCTGTTTCTCTTCTTTATTCATGCACAGCTGATACTTAAAACAGAAAGAAACAGACATCAGGATGATTCCCCAAAATATCTCAGAGGAAAGGCAAAGGTTTAGTGTAAGACGGTGCTTTAACCTTCACACAAGCGATGGAGAAGTCAGAGGTAGTGGCGTCTGAAGCTGAGTGGGTTGGACTGAAGTGTCAAGGCAATCACACTCTTTTGCAGAGTTCATTAAAATGAAGCACCACACTGCAGTTTCTCATGGTGGTCTGAGTCTCTAGCCCAAGGCGATCAAGGACACACACACCAGCCTCAGTGTTAATGTTACTTCTTGCTAACAGTATCATCTGTAGATTTAGACTTGGTTATAAAATTAACATTAACTTAAATAAATGCTAAAATTTTTAGTTCATAATGTAGTTAAAGAGCATATTGCAGGAAAAAAAAAAATTATAACCTTGTATGAAAATACCATATGAAAATGTAATGCATGTTATAAGATGTTTTAAAACGGCGGAGCCTCAGCCTCGGCTCAGTGCAGAGTTGGCTCGTATTCAGTGAGAGCAGTCGTGAGTCAGTGTGTTTTAGGTAGTTTTTGTGTTTCAATTTATCCCCGTCATGGTAAATTATTGTGTTTGTGGAGGTTGCAAAAACTCCGGCCTGTCAGGACATCGAGTCCACAGGTTTCCATAACAAGAAAAAAGGACTGTGCATCTTTTATGCCTGGTGCGGTGTGTGCAGGTGAAGAGACGGGATTTCTCTTCCGCATCGGCTTCGAGAAACGCGATCGTGTGAAGCGTTCACTTTAGTTCGGAGGATTCTCATCCTGGCGATATGATGGAGTTTAACATGGGATGCCGAAGCAAGAATATTGATCGTCTTATACTGTACCGATGGCATGAAATAGTGTGAAAACTTGTAATTGAAAACCAAAATTACTAGGTTGTTTAAATATTGCAACATGACATCATGACTTTTGCGTAAACATACACGCCACTTTCGAGTCAAGTGGCATGTTATCTCTACTTATTTTGAGCTATCCGCGTGTATGCGTGTATGTCTACGCCATTAACATCCGAGTGATTCCGCGTGTACCGTCAAATGTCTGCGCGAAACGAATCAAAATGTAGATCTACATCTGGAGAGCGATCATTTTTTTTCCTAGGATGGTAAGGGAACAGTCATAAATGCCATTAACCCCAGTGACGGTTAGGTTTAGGGACGGGGTTGAGGTAAGTCATATATTTATATATAAAGTAATAACGTTTGGTCAACGGCGTTCATAAACACGCTGAAAAGCGATTATGCGTCTTGATAGCACGCACAAAAAATGGAAATATGGCGTGTCATACACACGCTACTTCATGAGATCAGTCTGCACCATGACATCGGCCCTGTTCTCCACTGGTTCTCCTCACACCACAACTCAATTTGTCTCTAACCGTTCTGTGTTACATTAATCATGGCCTGTCCCCGCTCTCTTGGCAGCATAGCAGGCTCATAACTGGATGGCTGTGGTCCGTCATACGAGTATTTCCTCAGCGTCCGAAATGTCATTGCGATCCATTGTTTTCCTGTTGTCTGAGGTCACGTCCACACGAAGCCGTTGCGTTCCCTATCCGATTTTTTTTTTCCTCATTCTAAAAAAAATCTGTAAACACGGCGTTGTCTCAATAAATATCTGCGTACACACGAAACCACTGAAAACAGTGTAGTATATATGCCAGACCATTATGGGCCGCTGTAATTCTGCCACAGAGATGCACTATACACGGAGAAGAAGACATTGACAAAGTCTCTTCTTCGATGAAAGACGAAGATGGTGTGTGACGCAGCCGACACGTGATGTGATGACATCATCGTTTCACAAAATGTACGGATTGGCTGTACACACGAAACCGCAAGGTTGTCGTTTTCAGATTTATCCACTTTGGGACCCGGTTTCAAAAAATAGCAGTTCACTCTCCAAAAACGCCGGATCCGCGTGGACGAAACGCCAATACGATAAAAAATGTATACGTATACAGTGAAACGCGTCTTCGTGTGGACGGGCTCTGAATCGACCACTCTGTTAGGTCACGCCCATTTTCAGACGCGGAAGTAAAATTCTCTCACAAAAATGACCCCAGAAGCTTCTGTGGCGTTTTTATAAGAAAATATGATTCCTACATTATTTTTCTATGGGTCAATGTATAGAAAAATCAATATGCCCTTTAACTAATGTTATGAAATGGGACTTTATTGTAAAGTGTTAGAATTTTTTTTTGACAGCCCCATGCAGTTCTCATTTATTTAAAATGCATAAACGTTTTGCCAATCATTATAACATATAGATGTGGGTCACTAAAGACCGTCCTTAATATGTTACACGGATGCATCTCTAGCTGTCGCAAATCGTTTTCCCAGTACATTCAGCATCTGGCTCATATTCACGATCTCAAACATATTCTCAAAACTATAATTTTCAACATCTTCTAAATAAATACTTTGATCACTGACAGCTTCTTCTCCAGATCCACCATCAAGTGACAGTGACAGTAATATTTGATTGTGTTCAGTACGTGCTCTGCAGTATATCTCTGAGACATTTCAAGTTTTGCTGATGATGATACTTTTGTTTTCTGCTTGCTGTAACTATGAGTGAAATGCATAGACAGGTGAAACGTCACTTCATCATTGCATATCAGACATTGCTACTTTGTGGAATAAAGCCGAGTTGCACTTATTCAGTCATCAAAGATTTAATTATTGTTGTGCAGAAAAATATGCACTGTTACACACCTTGGGTTGTTAGCTACCCTGTACAATTTTTACAAAAGAAAAAATGAATGGGAAAATAGGTTTTCTTTTATAAAAATTCTTCT